AGAGAGAGAGAGAGAGAGAGAGAGAGAGAGAGAGAGAGAGAGAGAGAGAGAGAGAGAAAGAGAGAGAGAGAGAGAGAGAGAGAGAGAGAGAGAGAGAGAGAGAGAGAGTCAGTTTAGACTAGTTTAATTACGTATTTCAATATACATAAAAAGATGATTTGTTCAGAGTTTATATTTATTATAGTTTTAAAAATTGAATACATTATATAATGTCAATTTATATCAAAGGATTAAATACCTTAAGGTGAAAAAATCCATTAAAATATGGTAATGAATATAACTGATTTTATTTGTCGCAATAGTCATCCTGAAAATGAAATATTTTTACAGCAGTTTAAACCTCTTAAACCTCTATATATATTTTATTATATATATTTTATTATTTTTTTAATGTCATCAATAAATCATGTTATATTATAAATTAAAAAATTGTAAATTAACTCAAAAGCAATAATCAATAAAAATGCTTTAGTAAACAAACTTATTTTTAGTAAATAATAAAAACCTTTAGAAAAATATATTATTATGTTTTTATTTTTTTATATATAATATAATGCTTAAAAAATTTTGCTCTGTTTTTTATATAATTTAATTTAAAATTCTTATTCAGAGCATAAACAATTTACTAGCTTAGATTTATATTAATCGCTATTCACTTATTGCTATGAATTAGTTCAAAGAATTTTATAGACTGTATTCTATGATGTTTTGTTATCCATAAAGCCACTAAGCCAGGCCACGTGTTGCTTGCTTTTAGTTGAGTGCCTGTATTAATGCGAAACTATGAGTAAGTCCGACGCGAGCCGTAAATGCGAGAACAATGCGGGGCTAAGTGCATATCAGCTGCCTTTGTTTGCCTACCCTGCACCCAGGCCAAATGACGGCTGTGACGGCTGTTGGCCAGACTGAAGAGGATTCGCCTTAATTTGCTTATCGTCTCGTAATTTGATAACTTTCCTAATTTGCTAATACAAAATTCAGTTGTTTATGTATGCTTATGTATAAATAAAGAAGAGTTTCGGCGACCTGGACTGAGCACAGGGTATGCGCGTGTCGAGCACTTTCGCAGCAGCATAACAGCACAAATTGTGCACATGTGTTGAGCTATTCGCTCGATGGCCCGATGGACATGTTATAAGTGGCCATACATATGTATATAGCGTCTATATGTATCTAGGTGTTTTAGCTATAAATATTTACACATTTGTTGCGTTGGAAATATGAGTAAATATGATTGATTCGCTCGAGGTGCAGCGCCATGTCCCGCCGAGTTGGTCGAGTGGGCAGAGAGAGGCGAGTGACGCCCCCGATTCCGATCATAATCAATCAGCACTTTATTTAATTTTGTTAACGACCTAAAAATAAATTGACGGTTGCCAATTGATAAGCCGTTTGATGTTTCAGCCAATTTGTTATTAATTTAATATATATATATATATATATATATATATATATATATATATTTTTTTTTTTCTTTTTATGAGACCAACTTGACGGTTATTTATAGACGCTGATCAATATACCGAATGAGTATTTTCTACATGTAGAATTTTTTTTATTTATTGAAAATCAAATTAAAAATATATACTACATAAAAATAAAAAATAAAATAATTATATATATAAAAAACAATTATTATTATTTTTTAAGTGCAAATTTATTTATTTTTAGTATTTCATTTATTTTTGGTTTTATTTGATTTTAAAGTAAAAATATTTTGAAAACCAAAAACTTTTATTTTGTCTTATTAATTTTCATAGTAGAAATACTTAAAAATAAAAAATTTATTTTGTACAGTTTTACAATAAAAATACTTTGAAAGGAAAATACAATTTTTTTTTCAGTTACTTTATTTATTTTTAAATAAGCAAAATAAATATTTAATCTTTAATTGATTTTTTTTTTTATATTTTGTTTTATTTATATATTTGTATATATATATTTTTTTATATTTATATTTATTTATTTGTTAAGTTAAAATAACTATAACAAGAGAGATTAAGTTTTTCAAAGTTGATTGAATTTGCATTTTTATTTTCGCTGACTAACTCTGAGTCTTGGCTTTGAAGTCCTTTTGCTTGATTCGTGTTACCAAATTCTCATTGCTAACAATATGCTTCACTATGATTGATGTGGGTGCTTTTTTCTTTAACATGTATTCGCTCAGTAGTTGGCTTTTGTCATATCATAATGAGGGCTTTTCAACCGTTCAACTCTGCTGTTGATATCAAGCACATGACCCAAACGAATTGATATTTGGTATCATTGGCATTTTGGTTTCCAGATTGCAATTACCTTCTGCGCCTTATATTTGCACTGTCAACTGCTTGTGATGAATTCTTATTAATTACGCCTACCTGTGACGGCCCCCCGCCCCGGCTCTGATAAGCCCACTTCGCCCCCACCTGCTCTCTATTGATAATGTTTGTGTTTTGTCTTCATGTCTATTGGCAATATTTTGTTTGTATAGTTTCGTGAACAGGGACTCCCAAGCACAAGAGAACACCCCAGACAATGCCCCAGACGCGTGGCATTCCTGTTCTCTGGCGCCAAGCTCAACTGCGCTGCGTCAACTTTTATCAACTTGCTCGATATAGAACTTTGAATCCATTCAATGTCAGAATACGCTAAGCAAATATTATGGCACTAGTTTTAGTACCCTGCATATTGATAAGAGCTAGAAAGAGTATTCGAATGTCGATTAGGTTTGAAATGACGACCATTCAGCACTTCAATTAACTGCAAATCGATAAATATCGATTTTTCATTTTGCATGCATTCAAGTTATGAAAGTCTTTTATAATCGAACTGTGTATAAAGCTACAACCAAGTAGTTACTTAGCATTAATGGAAAAAAGTTTCAGCTAAATCATTCACTATTATTAAAGGTTTGAGACCTAGTCTATAAGCAAAGATAATATACGATTGAGAGAGAGTTCTTTTATAAGAATTCACTTGCTCTACCATAAAGTGTACCCAATTCTTGTTGGCAATTATGCAAAATCTATTTCACCGATTTTATGTCTTACATGACTTTAAATATATTTGCAATCTGATAATCCCCAAGGTCTTAAGCTACTACTTCTCGAACGTAGATGATTCGAATAATTCGAAACTGTCAAGGGTTCGTATTGTATTGAAAACTCTTGTCAAACTATAAACAACACAAAAGTTTTGTGGAACCATTGATAAGATTAAAAATCAATGTTGACAAATTAAAGTTAGCGTCAATTAAGTATAATTTCGAAAGTTCTTCTTCTGTTGCTTATTATATTTTATATTTTCGCTGAATTTCGCAGATTTCCGAAAATGTTTGATATGGTATTTTGTTTTACTGTGAATGCGTCGTGGTTCCATCGACAAAGTTTCCTTGCAATGGAACCTTATCAATGGGTTCTGTTAATGTAAACAATTCCATGGAATTTTGTATTAGCCATTGAACCTTTTAATACCCTCTACTTAAGCCAAGCGGAAGTATATCTGCTTCGTAGAATTATACTTTGAGAAATTATATATACTTTTATATAAGAGAAACATAACACTGATTGGCCACGCCCACTCAAAGATGAGATTAAAACAGCAGTCAGACTAAGTAGTCCTAATCTAATCTCGCTTCCGATTATCGCCAGTAAGCAAAGGAATACATTAGCCAGTGCTTACTATAAATAGAGTATGTCGTAGTTGAGTGCATCCGCCCACACTGCAAATGCTATGAAATGCTTCACACAACATTTCCACAATACAGTGATTCACTCTATCAGTTTATTAAGGGTCCATAAAACTCAATACGTCAGTCGAACGAATCAGATATGCGGACAAACATATCATAGCCGTAATGAGATGTTTACGGACTGCCATAAATGAGAAATAAAGTGGCCAAGTAGCAACTAGCTGGCTGCACGGCTGGCAAATCTGATAGGGGATTGCAAAATAATTTTATTTTTAATTCAGATTTCGTACAACTTTATGTGGCCATTAATCGGACGTTAATCTGACGTGGTCAATAATTTCATTGATTCCAGAGAGTATTCTTTCCCTCTGTGCCAAACCCTAGTTCAACAGACGATAAGTTTTACTATGTCAATATATATGTATATCTATATATACGTATAACATTTAGCGACATTCAATTGGAAAACAGAAATGTGTTTTATATATGGGATTGTCGAGTCTTTCTTTTTTTATTGCTCTGGATTTTGTGTGCTCTATGTCAAATCATGGAAATTGTGGAATAATTATGAACAAAGTTTTTTTACGGCGTTTATTGCGGGGCAATAAAAACAAAGATAAAAAGTTCCTTTAATTTAATGAGGCAGTAAATTTAAATTAAAAATATGATTTTATTCTTTGTTAAATAAATAATTTATATTTTTTTCTTTTAACAAGAGTGTTATGTATTTTATAAAAAAAACTATTGGTAAATAAATTAGATAAGGGAAAACCCTACACTGAAGATTCTCATGTCGACGTGTTCAAGCCCACAGCCAGACAGACGGACAGAAGAAGAAGAATGTATATATTTATTACATACATACATACATATTCACTAAGTCTATATAACTTATAATATTTTTCAGAATATATGCCTAGGTTGGGTGTTTCCTAATGTACTTGAGGAAGCTATTAAGATTATAAAGATATAACAACTCTCTGATATAAGACTATATTTTGTATAACGGTCTTAATACTACTTACTCATTAAAAGCTGCTAACTTCATAAAGCTATGTTTCTAATGAAAACGTATCCTAATACAATTGAAAAGAATTGAGTAAATATTGAATACCTTTATAGGTACATCTATAGAATCCTAATTTATTGTCTATTAACATTATTAAATAGCAAATTTAACGGAATCTTCCATAAATTTTCCTCACAGCATCAATATGCAGCAGAATCAGCCAACGTTTGTACTCCTTATGCGGTCAAAGCAGCTTAATTAATTTGTGAGATCCACAAAGCAGCAATCAAAGCAGAGCTGGGAACAGCTAATGAGCCCGAAAATCAAGGAATTAATTGACAGCTGCCTGGCTTCAGTGCAAATGAGCCAATTCTGCGACCAGAGGCTACAAAGTGCCCGAGCCAAGAGTTGCAAATCATTTGGAATCATTGGAAGCATCGCAGCTGGCACCTGGCAATGGCAGCAGCCAGGTGTGACTAATGGCAGTCTGAGCCAGCTTCAGTTGCTGCTGCTGCTGGGGCTGGGGCTGCTCTGCCTGGGCGGCTGCCAGGCCCGGTGCCGGGAGGAGCCAGCGCGTGACTGTGAGGCGATTTGCAATGCGGCAGGAGGCAACTGCTCGATACGCGCTCTGGTGCTGCTGCCCAACGACGATGGGTACGAGGCATCGCTGCAGCGAGTGCTGCCCATTCTGAAGGTGGCGGAGCAGCAGATCCGCAACACGGCTCTCATACCGCCGCACATTGACTTCGAGTGGCTGGCGCACGACACCAAGTGCGATGCCTCGCTGGGAGTCATCCGGGCCATGGACGGCATCATCAAGCAGTGTGCGCAGGTTATCTTTGGACCCGTATGCGACTACTCGCTAGGTAAATGGCCAATCAGAAGAACCCATTAAATCATTTTGCCCTAATGCGACCTAATGATTGTTTCAGCTGCTGTTAGCCGCATTACCAAGTACTTCAATAGCCAGGGAACGCCCCTCATAACCGTGGGCGGCTCCACCTACGACTTTGAGCAGAAGAAAACCGACTGTGGCGATGAGTTCTATATGCTGCTGCGCACCGGCATGCTGAGCTTTGAGTCCATCTCCGAGCTGACTATAAATGTAATGAAACAGTAAGTCGACCATCTTTCCATCAGGCAGAGCTCTCCATTATTGTTGGATCTACTCATGTCGCAGGCACAACTGGTCCCATTCTATATTCTACTATGAGCGCGATGGCCAGCGCAATGTGGCTGGTCTGCACACTTGCTTCCTGATGATGAAGTCCCTCGGCAAGCAGATGCGCAACGAGAACATGACCTTTGCCCAGTATCCGCTTGAGTCGAATGTTATGAATCGCTCGGAGGAAATGCGACGTGAGATTGGCAATAAACACTCAAGTAAGTTAATACTTAAATGATATTATTATAAGAAAGCTATATGCATAAATATTAAGAGAAATACAAATGTATATGGATGGAGATGTATCCGTATTCAATAACATGTCTCCTTAATGTTAAGTGAGGCACTAACAGCAGAAGGCACTGCTAAACAACTGCGCAATGCATTGTAATGTAAAGTGCCACATAACAGCGCTATGTTAATAACATTTTCAACAATACTTCAAGCAAAGATAACAACCATTGTGCTTTCAAAGCGCAGCCGTTACGATTATTATGAATAAAAGCACTGTAGATTGGAAGTTAGTTTCGAATATTAAATTTTGATTTAAGCGTTCAACGAAAAATATACTTTTCTTTCTTTTACCAGCTCTGTAATTTTGCAATATCAGGCAATGTAACATTTACTACACCTCCTCCCAGCAAATTTTGAATATTTCCCTCCATTACTTGTTAATTGCCTTACCGTTTTTTCTAGTATTGTAGCATATATATTTTTCTATGAAAAATTCGACCTGCTTTCCAGAATAATCATCATTCAAAGCATAAACAAAGACCACCCAATGCTGGCCCGCATAAAGCTCATTGTGAAACGTGTCATGCTTTTTCGAAAAGCAACATCAAACAGCTGTTAACGCACACTATTGCCGGCATGTGCCAAACGCCGGCTGCATTCTTACACACATACACTCGCACCAATGCTTGACAGTTTCGAAATCGAAAATCTACCGTTGTTTCAGTTAGCATCAGTAGCCGGCGATAAATTGTTTGGTGCGCACTAAAAGTTCAAACTGGCAGCGAAGTATTTAGCTATGGAAATTAAAAACCCGTTAAACGAGAATGAAGGCAATGAATTACCTGTGCAGGCCAGTGAAAACGAAATAATGCAGAACAAAATAATCTACTATAAAAAAAATACTTCAAAATATTGCACTCTTTAAAAAATGTGACTGAATTTAATAAATATTCATGTTGACTCCATATCAGCAGCATTAGCTAAACTAAACAATGATACATTGTTGATATCCTTTTATGCTGTAAACGCACTTGTTATCCTGGCACCCTTGAATGCTTCATCGCTTCCATGCACAATGCATATGTCCAAGTTGTGAAAGACATTCTTTGCATTTTTCATAAGCTGTTTACCTGTCAGCCACACGCAGCTCATCCTCAAAAGAGCTCGAAGAATTATGGCACATGAGGTTCGTTGGGCACCCTCTGGGCGTGCATTGTTATGCTTTGAATGTCCCCATCTTATGCAGCATCAATTTGTTGTGCATGAAATAAATATTGTATTCTGATAGACAATTGAATAAGTGAAATAATTGAAGAATGTCGAACAAAAATACTTGAAATTCAATGTCTTGAAGTCGAGTGTTTATTGATATATATATTTAATGTGCAAGGTTGTTTAATTGACAAAAGTATTTTATAGACTAACGCATAGCTAATCTAAATAATAGTGTTATTTAACGCCAATTTATCTATGACCTTGACATTTAACCAATGAACGTGGATTCGGTCTTCTATTCAAGCTCCTATTGTGTCCACAGCTCACTAATTAGTTATATTAACAGTATGATATCTCGCCTTCCACACGCAATAATGATAAAGCCAACAATACCCCAATTGACTGCCAAGTGCTAAGCTCAATTGAGACGTATCAATGTACCCAATCAGCATAATTGCTGCTTGCACATTTGCCTCATTAACATGTCTCCACACTAGCCACTAGCACTGTAGGTGTTTGACTTAATCAATTCAGACAGGCAATAAGCAATGCAACGGAGAGAGAGAGAGAGAGAGAGAGAGAGAGAGAGAGAGAGAGAGAGAGAGGGGAGAATAAACACACTAGAACTTAAATCAACAAGAGTTGAGCTAGTCTATTATATTTGTGGACTGTTATTCATACTCATTAATATCTGTAGGTTTCATGTTCTGTATAATGACGTGATTACATACGGAGATTGTCCATTTAGTATAATAACTTTTTATGAAATCTTAGTCGAATTTGAACTATAATTAACTCAATAAGAATGTCCACAAATTTGGTATGATATTAAATATAAATGAGTTTTTTGGCAATAATCCCATCTATTTATTGTAATTATTTACTTAACTCTTTTTAATATTATAACTATATTAAAAATGCGATTTCTTTAAAAGTTTAATGTGGGTATCTTGATTTCTATCATCCTATTATATCGAAAAATTACACTCAGAAATCAGTTGCTCATTAGATATTACTGAATATAGCTTCTGCTTTAAGTATCTCTATTTTTCTATCAAATACGCATTAAATATATTTATTTATAATATTAGTAATAGTAATTCATTCTTTTATTATTATATATTTAGATCTTTTTAATATGATTGAACTGTAATGTCTAGCACAACCTACGCAATTTGAGAGTAATTTATTTGTGCTCTTTTTAAATCGTTTCAACTTCAACTTTTCCTCTGGCCAAGCAAGAGCCGAAGTGACGCGGTGATTTCTATTGTTGAAATATTTATTGCTTGTCTTCAACAGTTTTAACAGGGATTTTATCTCATGAGCTACAATAATATATAAGTATACAAACTGTGTCCATTCTATATATAGCTGAGACTCTACTTCCTTTGATATTCTCTGTTCACACACTGGAGGCAACCCACAAGAGCCAAGAGGCATGCGGCCACCAGCTCCAAAGGACCAAGCACTGAGATGAAAGCCGTAAAGAACATTTGTAAATAGCATCTGCAGTTACAACTGCCTTGGGCGCAATATGTGTATGTGAAATTTATTTCCCTTGCCCCAGCCGAATCAGGCTTCCTGCCTCAGGCCCAAAACTGCTTATGAGGTCACAAAAAAATGGTTAACCTGAAAATTAATTTCAGTAAATCGAAAATTACCTTATTTCTCTTCGTACATATTCTGGTCTACTGACAGACAAATCGCCATGAATAAAGCTACAAAATACATTTACTTTCCAATTCACAGCAATAACTCTTGTTAAATGCAAATTTGCCAAATTCAAAGTAGTAGTAACATAAAATTGCAATTCAACTACTCTCTTGCATCAAGAACAGAAAATACTTTGATAAAAATGCAGTACTGGCATCTTAAGGTCGCTAAGGCTCATTTATAATTTAGCAAACTTTCCCGATTTTCCAGTACTATAAAGCATGCCAGCAATGGCATTTTTATTCACATTATATTTGAATTTCATGCAAATTTAAAGACTTTCCACTGCTTGACTGCTGACTAAAACCTTAAATTTCTGCAAACTATGCTTCAATAGATGCCCAAATTTCACTTAGCAAAAATTTTTATAAAAGCGTTACTACATCAAAAGTGAACAAGCAAAAGAAACTTTCAATTACTTTTAATTAAATCTGAGCGCAATTTCATCGAGTTAAAAGCCAACCGAATTTGTTGCCTACTTAGCGGCGCCTTATAGTAAGCTGAATGAGTTTTTCTTTTGAAAAAATCTTTGTCCTACTGTAAATAATCGTGCCTTTATTTCCAACTCGTTAAGCTGCCAACTAGGTAGTAGAAAGCCTGTTTAAATAAAATAAT